TACTTACAGTATTCTTTCCTCTCAAATGATTGACTTAGCATCGTAGTGTTACGTTTCACTAAATAATACGTTTGCTGTAGTGTTTGTGTGTTTAACGTACCTAACCCAGGAAGTGGGGGTATTACCGACTGCGCTATATTAAATGATATAAATGAAAGGGACTCGGGTGGTAATTCTATCGACTGCTTTTTGATCAGTGCAGTTTTAAATATAACAAGGCCCTTACCAGGTACAGTTTTTGTTTTTATAACTGTACGGGCCAAAACGTTGTTTTATTATTTAAAATTAAAACGGTTAATACTAGTATTACCACCCGAATCTTTTTTATTTATTGGGGGTGTGCAACTACAATGCAACTTTTGTTTCATTTTTCTACTTTATTCATACAAAGAAAACCTTACACATTTAATCATTAAAGTATTCTCTGTTATTGTCCAACACTTTCTGCCACTGAATCGGTAATTTATAGATCCCTTCACGAAAGAATTCTTGGTTTTTGAATGCAAAGAAATTATTGACCCACTTGTAACTTGCACTTACTTTATCTGTAAAAATTTCGCGTTTTGAAATAAACTTGGAGGGTTGTCTGGAATCTACATGTGTTTTATTCTGCTTTGAATTATCAAAATAAATCTTCTTTTAATCTTCTGTTACAATTTTCCACTAATGATGTCTTCCACAAATGACTTCTTACGATGTTTAACAAGCAGATGATAACAAAAGTCGATTCAATGTATTTGTCCTTCGAGCTGGAAACAGCGAGGATCAAGGCCAACCTATTGACCATGCTTTGTGGATCGAAACGAGAGCCCCCCAGGAGATGAACCCAGAGCACCGACTGAACTCGACTTCAGTAAGTATCAGTAAAATAGCAGAAGAGGCTTGGGGCGAGCATTACAGGGTGCAAGAGCGAGTCAATCACGTACCCGCGAACTAAGAGAGGTTATAGCGTGTCAAATCCGAGCTTCCTCGTACTTAAGCTCATGATGTGCTTCCGGACGATCGTCTTGGTCTACACAAGGCTCGAAACGGGTTCCGAACGGACTATGGCTTGAGCGACAAGGCAACGTGAAAAACGCGTCGTGCCTGCTCCCGTCTCTCGTTTATGCTGAACTTCTGACAGAGGGCTGCGTTGGGCAGAGCTCGTCTCTTACTGAAGCGAAATCTCTGAGAAATTGACAAGCACTTTGTCCTTGCCGTGAGTATGACCTAACAAACGTGGCGATTACTGATTGCCTCGTGCTTCAACCTCGCGCTTTACACATGGAAATTACTACCCGATGAGTCCTTGCTCGCAATGGTATCCTGGCCCAACGCATGCAATTCGAAGAGTCAATACGTATCAAAAAACGAAAGCTTACTACGTGGAAAGGTGGGTGGGGCACCGACTGGTGGGATGAGTTAGGCTCTCAATATAAGCCTTTAACTCACGCAATAAAATAATTCAGATATGAGCCTTATCTAACAGGAGAGCTGGATGTTCGAATTGGTTTCCAGCCGATTAGACTTTCTCGAAAGCTACTGACAGACTAGAGGACTCTCAGGCAGCAGAATCTAAGTACTCGAATCTCGATTAGTACTCGACCGTGAGGAAAAGCTATACCAAAGCAAGAGGCAAACTTTTTAATTAACGAAATCGCCTGGAATCCCCTCGACGAACGGTGGGTGGCTCACATTGGAGACTGACTTGCACCGAGTTCCTCAGCTTCCGCCCATCTCCGTGCCCGTCTTAAACATGGATCGTAAGCAGACTGACATTCATGATCACATAGCTACCCTATCAAGCTGTTACCATCCCACAACGAGTCTTTGTAAAGTAATCAGTCCCTGGCTGATGAGCTTAAAAGATGCCGCGATCAGCGTAGAGCTCTCGGTCGTTTCGTAGGGCAGTGAAACGACTGGTTCGTCTCAATAGCCTTGAAAGCAATGGACCTAACTACTCATCGAGCCTGGGAGGAAGAAATCGACGAGCCGTGGAAGGAGACCAAAGACAGATTGGAGAAGGATCCGATGCCACCCTTCGAGAATCTAAAGTGTTTCCTTCAGGCCTCTAAGAACACTGTCCGAGCAGTCAGGAGTATCACAACATAGGGCACTGCGCTGTCTTCAAGGCTCTGGATATCGAAGTCCGCAGGCAACTGATTGTGCAGAAAGGTCTTTGGGTAAGCTTCGGGTGGTCTTCAATGACTCATGCTCCTCGTCTTCCAGACGCAGCCTTAACGACGTGCTATATGCTGAACCCAAGTTGCAAAACAACCTAGTGGATATCGTCACATAATGGAGACTGGATCGATAGGTGTTTGACACCGATATCAAGATGATGTTCAGGCAAATGCGCATCTACCCGGACCATCCTCACCTGCAGAGGATCCTCTGGAGCCCTTCCGAGAAAATTCCTACCATGAATTACGTGCTGCTCACCGTAAAGTATGGAACGGTGTACGCACCGTACTTAGCTTTTCACACACTTCACCAGCTCTGCGAAGATGAAGGATAACCTTTTCCTAAGGCATCTGAAGCAATAGGCAGGGATCTGTACTTAGAAAAATTCCTGAGTGGCAGCGACGACCTTAAAAATCTCAAGATTGCAGAGATCAGCTCCGAGACCTCCTTCAGAAGGGTGGCTTGGCGTTAAAAAAGTGGGTGGCAAACGACCCACAGATCCTTGGTGGCGTCCCGCTAGAGAATCACCTACAACCATGCCCTGAACTTCAACGTCTCCTAAGCTGATTACCATGCCTGGTGTGACAACACCACCGTGCTTTACTAGCTGCTCGCCGATGGAACGATCGGCAGCGAGCTGGTCGATGGATACTTTTTTCACATTCGAGAGCTGGTACTGGAAGTGCAACGGCACTTTGTTCCCTCAGAAAGAAATTCGGCTGATGTTGCCACGAGGGCGCAACTGCATACCAACAGGCTCCAACGAGTCCGTGGGGGCCAGTCTCGCTCTGGCTCGGCCCATCCCCTGGGTACTGACACCCCACTCATCTCGCTCTTCAAGCGCCCTATTTGATCAGCCAACACCTGAATGCTACCTGGCAGTCCACTATTGTGTCATCCTGAAAAGGTACCCAGAACTCACCTATACCGAGTAATTCTCAGACTTGAATTGTCCATCACAACCTATATCAGTTTTGAATTTTTAAGTAATTATGTAAGGAACAAAGTACTATTAATATTTGTAATACTATGAATCTGATGACAGCAGGATATTGCAATATTAAAGTATGACTCCAACGGCAATGCTGTCCAATGGTCTTTATTTATTTATTAAAGCAAAATAAAGCTTTAACAAATAAATAAAGACCATTGGACAGCATTGCCGTTGGAGTCATACTTTAATATTACTATTCATATTAATGTAGGAAATAATGCAACAGCAATGAGATATTAAGTAAAAATTTTTAAAGAAAAATAAAATTATTTTCTGGTAAAATTTGCCAATGTAAAAAATTTTGTTTGGAGTTTAAAATTTCCGAACGAAATTAACAGTATTTATAGTATGCAACTAAAAACGACTAAAATTTATGGGTCGCTAAACAGTGACGTAGAGTTGAACCTTGCAGTACGTCGACGATAGCAGTCTGCAGAAATCACAGAAAAATTCGCCATTAACGTCAATGTATGTGTGTTACTTCACGTCTTTTGATTTTTCGTAGTCTCTTATTTTTTTTTTGTTTCATCTTTAGTTACATCTGTCTTACTTTCCTCTCTTTCTCTCTCTCTCTCTCTCTCTCTTTCTCTGATTGTTTTTTGTGGCATACTCATTTAAACTCTATACCTAATTTCCTTTTTCTCACTCTGTGTCTTCTGTTGCGAGCTCTTCTATATTTCTCCCTCACTCTTATTTCCGTACCAACATCATTATCTCGTTCTCTTTTAAAGTTCTCGTACTTAAGGAGTTTTTTAAAAAATTATCAGCTGCAAAATCCGTATGAGGCAACTAGAAAAAGGGCAAAAAAACTGCAAACTCCTATCTCATGAAGAACTTTGCAGTCGACGTTGTTTCCACTGTAAACGTGAGTGCCCTGCTAATTTCGTATATAGATGGCAGTGCGCATATTTTTAATGTTTTTTTAAATAACTGCAAAACTCGGATATGGTTTGAAAAGTCAAAAATAATAAGAATAAAAAAATCTTTTCCTTGGTGTGGGTCGAACACACAACTTCATGTTTTCTCAACAGTTGCTCTTAATAAGGTTTGATTGAAAAATGATTTCCCATTTGTTGATAAATAAATCCGTAAATAAGATAATAAATTCGAACTATGGTTGAAAAACAAGGCTTAAACCCAAGAATCAAATATATGAGAACCTAAGGTGTGTGTGAGCGCACGAGTCCTCGGTAGCGTAAGTGGTAGAGCAACTGTTTAGAAAATACGAGGTTATGGGTTTGACCCACACTCAGGAAAAAATTTTTTTATTCTTGCAGATAGTTTGAAATTTCTTTAAACTTATAATTTTTGACTTTTCGAAATTTAATTCGAAAATTATTTGTTATCATAAAAGAATAGGGATGGACTGAGAGTGCTTGGAACAGTACCTCTATCTATATAGAAGAGCCTATAAGTTTGATGATACATATGTATCACAAATACTGCTTGTTATACTAGTAATAATATCACACAAAAACTTTAAATATCTTATTTATCTATAAATGGTAAATCAAAATCAAACATTATTTGCATTTTTATTCGTTTTTCATAAAGTACAACAAAAAATTATTTTAGCACTTAGAGTGGTAAGTGATTTTTTTTAAAACTTTAAAAAATCTAATACATCTAATTGTCAGCTTATTACTACAAACTTCAGGTGATTAATCTTTCATTCTAATACCTCTATGCGTTATCTTATGACAAAATAAAAAGAGTATAGAAATAATAGAAATTCGTTTAAATAAAATAGTAAGTGAGTCGGGATTCCAATGAAATTCTATACTTATTTCTCACTGATTTACAATAATTACTTCTGATATATGATTTAGAAATTTTTTTACAGATGCACAGTGTTTGCCAGTGAACATTTACCAATCACAATCTGCAAGGAAAAAGATGCAAAAGAGGTGTACAAAAAATTGATAAAAACTGAAGCTTTCACTGTACCATGTAATGATCATATTAGATTAAAAAGGTGGCCTGAATTAAAATTCAAGGAATTTGAATTTGTAGGAGTTAGCCAATTTGAATCATCTTCTGACATAGTCTTATCAAGTGCCGGTATCTTATATTTTTAGCCCATTATTTTTACGTTCTGTCATGAAAAATAATAGTTATAAACTTTAATTTTTTTTTTAATGTAGGTTGGATAGCTATTGCTGCTAGTTATGATAATATAATCCGAGTAAAAGCTTGGACTCCACTAGCTCGTGGAATTTATTTAAGATCACCTTCACTTTTACCAAAATCTGTAAATTTTCGAGGAATAAGAAGAGTAGGAAGTCCAGCGTATCAATCAGGACAACAAATCTACATCAATTAAAATTAATGTATTTCAAGATTCAAGTATACATAATAAATAATTTTCTTACAAACAGTATATCCCCCACTGTTGCGTTAACGACATGAACACTGTTTTCATTAATCTACTTTACAACAAAAGTTGTTTCATACTGTATTACATGCACTTTTGGTACATAAGCACCAGATAAAAATACAAAATAAAGTGAGCTTCTTATGAAATACTGTGATTTTAGAGTAAGCTATGAATTACATGTCTATTTGTCCTACTGCACATAATGTGCGTGCTCGCGATTTTCTCTTACTTTCTTGAGGTCTCAAAAAAATAACAAGTTCAAATCAACGTATGGCTAATTAATATACTTTTTAGACAATTCTGCCTGTAAACCGAAATTTTTTATTTTGTTATGATGAGAATACAATCGAAGAAAATAAATTTTTAGTATATGTGTCAACAAGTAGTAAGGTGGCATCTGATATTTTTTTAACTGCTCAGTCATACCAATATTAATTGCATTAAGAAACAAGTGATCGACCGCCTATCTGACTTACTGCAAGATTATACTTTCACCGTAGAAAGGTTTGAATAGAACCTGAGTAATTATTGATAGTCAATAGTTAGATAAAATTTCAGAAAATGCGTTAAGACTTGATAAATATATTTTTAGAGTATCCTAAGCTATCTAGAGAGTTTTCAGTATTCATAGGTCATTTTTTAAAGTTGAGAAATTTTGAAATTCTGCTATTTTATATAGGTTCTTATGTAAATACACTTTAACTTAACTCATTATATAGACAAATACTACAGAACACAAAAAAATTTTTTTTTATACGTTATGAATGTCGTTATGATAGTCATGAATATTATCTATTGTTTCCTTCTTAAGACAGATTTGCAATCCATAAAACTTATGGATGTCAGAATTTTTTCCAATCTCGAAGAGCATGTTATAATACACTAAAATCATTAAATATACACTTCTATGAAATCATCTCTAAAACGCCGTCATCCCTTACTTACATAAGTTTTAAACAGAGACACATGAGGAATGTTCTTGCTCCATAAAAACAACACTAAAACTAAGCAGCAAACAAATATTTTGTAAACTCCAGAAAGTTAATTCAAGCAACTCAGAATAATTTTATTTTAAAAGTAATTAATTTTTTACAATAAACGATGTACAGTTTACTCTAAAGTCGTATTTCATAAACAAATGAGTACATAAGTTAACAACAATCTTTTCTGGAAACTTTTTGATAATTATTTCATTACCGAATAAAAGTATCAGTTCTAATTTAATAAATAATGAAGCAAATTTTTAATTTTTCTTTGTTTGAATTAACCTTAGCAAGTGTGTATCTTGTTAACAAAGAGTTTTCATCCTTATAAAACTAGCCATCATCATTCTTCAGAATGTCGTGCATGCTTTATTAATTGGAGATTAAGTTAAGAAAACCTTATTTGATGAATATTATTTACCATTTTTGAATAATAATGTTCTGAATGTGTGAATTTACACGTGTTGTTATGTTGAAATTAAAAAAAAAAATTGTTCCCTGAAACGACTACGAGATAAGAGTCATATTTTGCACACTCCTTCAAAGATCTTTTATACCCTAAATTAATAAAAAATAATTTACTTTTTCGTAACTTTTTATTTGCAATTTTCTTCCATCGTGAACCCTTCACCCATTAATTTTGTAATAAGTGACGAATAAAAATTTCACCTTTAAATTTTGTATAAATGATAAATAAATATATCGAAAAGCTGCATACATAATTATATTTCACTTCAACTATCATGCTGCTTGTACAAAAGTACGTCAGACGTAAATAATATTTATTCACAATTGATCGCTGTATCTAAATAGTAGAGTTACTAGAGACAAAAGCAATCCACTAAAACTAACTAACTTATTAGATAGGAGCGATCTAATTGCTCCAGTGATGCAGTTTATGGTGTAATGCATACAAAATAAAAGCGTTTACATAACTGGTGTTCTGAAAGTGAAAATTACTGCTCACTACACAGCTTTGAGCGATAAACGATTTCTGTAGCGCTTTACACAAAAAATTCAGATTACCTGTAACACATAAAATTAATAAAAATAGCCTGGCAAGTTATGTGATCAGTATATGTTAAAAGATTATTATTATCATTTAATTTTGCCTTCAATTTGGAATTGAAGGTTGTGGAATGTAGTATCACGCTCCTTTGCAGGCTGCGGGACTAGCAGACAGTCCAACTATTCGTTTGGTTATTAGATGGAAAAGAGAGCAAGTTGCATAGAATAATCGTGTTAACTTACCTTTTTTCCTGTAGCAGCTTCGAGTACTGGACAACTTCGGTAGCTAAGTTATTGACTATTATTAACTGTTGGTTCAAATAACTAAAACTTCTTCTTCTGTTGGTTTTATATTAATTTATTTTATGTTACTTGTACAAAAAAAGACACAGAAAAGATAGGATATCCAATCACTCTTCAACAAGTTACTTTAAAATTATTAATGAGCTTCTGCACTCAATGAGCAGCAGCGGGATATGAACTACAGTACTTCGTGAGAAAATGCACCTTGCGCAAAGCCTTAGTTAAAATTCACAGTGGAGCAACGGAGACATTGCCTGACGTTGCTAGACGCAGCCAGATGCATCTGTAAGCAACATGGGACATCCAGCCGCGGCGGCTGTGTCGCGATGTTGTAAGCCGTATCTATAGAAGCTCTCTTTTCTCATGAGCAATGGCTTTATTAGCTATAGAGGTATCTCTGTCTTATGTGAAGTTTGTTTTGATACTTTTGCCGCCCGAATCCGTTGGCAAATTGTTTGTCAACAAGTGCGAGTGAATCGCATACAATGTGTCGGTGTAAGCTACCCTTTGTTATAGCGTTTGTGGTATCTCTACGCGTGGAACCAAGGCAAGGCCAAGATGGGGCATTGCACAGTACCAGCTACTCATCTGCTACAGCAACTTCTGACATTGATGATATCAATTTTTGTACCATCGCTAGGAAATATAGTTACTGGGGCGATGTAGCTCAGCGATATACAAGGGGACAACACGACTTAGGAAATATAGGTTATGATAGAAAGTTGTGAAGAAAAGTTGAGATTGCTTTGTTTATAAAGTAATTGTACTTCTCCTTTGTTTCTAAAAATTTAAGTTTTGCTCTCAGAAGTCGAATTATTATATTTTATTAACGTGTTCGAAAACTATCTGAAATAAATGTAACATGTTAAAGTACAAAATTTTATTGAACAAAGATAATGCATTCAATTTGTAGGAAAAAAAATTTTGCCCAACTAACTCTTATCCCCAATTATAAAATATTCAAACAAAATGTTAGCTTATCTCATAAGCACCGTGTTCACAGCTGTATATATAGTTTTATGATTATATAATTTATTTTATTTTGTAATTTTCATAAAATAGCTTACAAGCTCATCCCTCACATCTTTTCCGTAATTTCTGTGTATGCTACCCTGTCGGATATCGTCCGTATTCCACTCAGTTATTTTTTTTTATTTTCAAATTTAGCTTTTTTTAATTCATGTTCGTTTATTCCTTCAGAGTCTATTATTACGTTATGTAGAACACAAATGTATTTGACAATTCCGCAGACTAACTTTGGCTTCTGTTCCATCATATTAAATATAATTCTAAATTTTTGGGCTGCGATGCCGAAGGCACATTCTACGACTCGTCTAGCTTGACTTAACCTTCTGTTAAATTTATCTTTTAAGTAGAATAATTCTTCACCCGGATAAGGTTTCATTAAATGGTCACTTATAGGATATGTGTTGTCACCTATCATAAACTAAGGTAGCACTATGTTGGAGTCAGGCAACTTATCAAGATTTGGTATTTTAAGAGAGCCATTCTCTAATATGATGCATAAGTCTAAAGCTCGAAATGTACCACCATCTCTTTGTTGTCCGTAACCCCCAACGTCAATCACAATAAACTTATAATCAGCTTCAACCAGCGCCTGCAGAACAATTGAGTAGTAACCTTTGTAATTAAAGTACTGCGATCCGCTGTGTTCAGGGTACTTAACTCTAATGTGCTTGCTGTCGATAGCTCCTAAGACATGAGGAAAATTCCATCTTTCATTGAACTTCGAAGTGATGCCCTTAAATTTTTCAACTGTAGTCACTGGCATATGTTCCTCATTCAAATTATCCCATATCGCTCAAACCACTTTATGTACAATATTACAAATGGTGCTTTTTCCTATTCTGAATGAAAATCCCAGAGTTTTGTTAGTCTGAACCTGTAGCTAGCCACCTAAAAAATTTAAAAATGTGTTGAAACTAAATAAAATAAAAAATTTGTGAAAAACAAAATTTTGTAAAAATGATTTTTTATGTTTGGCATAAGTATTTCAAATTTTAAATAATGATCCATATTTATNAGCTTTGATACTGTCCTTGAAACAAAAGGAAAACATTTTAAAATTTTTTTTAAAGTTTTCAATTTTAAATGAAGGTATGTTATTTGTTAATAGATTTTTTTTTCTATTTTTGTAGAAACACAATTGAGGAATAAGTGGTTTAAATTGGCTAGCCAGTTTAAAACCGATATCGACAAAATCCCACCAAAACGCTCGGGAGACGCTGCGCCAAAACTTATTAAACACTTCTGTAATCATTATGATGCTTTGGCGTTTTTAAAGGAAAATTTCGAGAAGGCCCAGTGTACTGGCAACTTAAAAAATGAAAATTTTTTGAAAATTCTTTCAAGCATAGAGGACGACGAGGATCTAGAGTATACATTATCAGACGAAGTGGAGAAAGTAGATTTATGTTTATCCAGCAGTAAGGAATCATCTTACAGTGACTTATCAGATTGTGAAATTAACAAAAAAACATTAAAAAACTCTAAAAAAATTATAAAAAAAACTCCCGAGCAGAGTTCTAGGAATAGGACTAAAAATAAAATCGCAGATGACATCGTTCAGTTGCAAAAAAAAATTTAAGATTTTTCAAAAAGTGTTGAACAATAAAAAAAAAATCATGACGCTAATATAAATTTTTTTATGTCTCTTGTACCGTTCATGAAAGAAATGAAAAGCCACTTAAACTTGGAGTGCAGAAAAGAAATTTATAATATTGTATCAGTTTTTTATAACAGGATGTATTTAAAATAGTAATTTACCTCAAACACTTCATATTTTTATAAAATCTTTTTATTAAATACTCAGGATCGACTGCCATGCCCGAAACACAGTGCAAAGAACACCACATATCAGGTATTCAATCGCGTCCACTTTAACACCAAAAATTAAGTCCATTGAAATAATTAAAGAAAAAGTTTCTTTAACATCCAGAAAACAAAATGGTACGTTACAAACGATTCTAATTAAATAAAAAAATATGAATTGTTTACATTAAACCATTGTCAATTTGCTTAATATGTTTTGTAGATTTTGAGACTCAAGAACTTGAAGAAATTTCAAGCAGTAAAAGAAAAAGACAGGAGCCAGACTGTGAGACAACTATGGAAAGCAAAGAAAAGTCATTCAATGAATTTAATGATTCTGACACGAGAGACTTCGATGAATTATACACTTGTAAAAATGTATTTACAATAGTATTGTTTAATATGCTATTTTATATTTTAGTAGTTCAAAAATCAGCCTTACAATTTTTTTAGTAATAAAAATACTTTTTTTAGAAGCCCCGTTAGCATTAAAAAGTTCAGACGATCAAAATCTGGTAGATCATCAAAAAAAGGAAAGATCCAAAATAGAGTAACAAAGTTATAAAGATCTGTATAATGTAAATATGAATCCTGCAATGGGCACACCATAAAATGAGTACAATTTTGTTCTGGTATTCATTGATTCACAAACCGGTAAATTTTACAGCAAATTACACTATCCGGAAAATATGGCCCAAACTCCGTTTTCCAATGTCAATAAGAGTATTACTGAAGAATATTATTTTTCTATGAACCCTGGCCCAATAATCCAGTAAATTTAATATTTTTATATAAAATTAAATATGGTTTATTCCATTAATTAAAAAAAAATCTTTTAATTAGAGGTTTGTCTACTCCACGTCAAGAACATTTTCAAGAATCTTCAAAGGAAAAAGAGAATTTCCTTATGACCTCTTATAGACAACCAGAAACGCAGTTTAATAACTTATGTGAAAATTCCGATGCAGAAAATCGATTCACAAGTCACAATTTTAAATTACCTTTGCGCAAAAGAAAATAATTTTCTATTGAATAAAAAACTTTCTTTCTAAGTTAGTATCCATTCTGTGTTCTTGGTAAAGAATAGCTTCAAGTTATGAATATTTCAGAAAAACTTTATTATTATTTACTTAATATGCAAATTATGAAACGTGTTAAAAAATTTCTTTAATAGCTATTTGTCAAATTTTTTCTTCAAATTGTTTGATGGCTTTATAATACCAATGTCTAACATTTGTTTTATTTTGAAAATCTTACAGTATTTATGAGCGAATACCATGTGCAAGTAAATGTTTCCATACACAGTTAAAATAAAGTAATTTTATTATTCTCCAAGTTAAATGACTTATGCCTATTTGTTTAAGGTTATTATTGTTCATTAAATAGTGTGATGACCAGTCTTTCTTCTGCTTCTATTCGGGCCGGATGCAAATTGCACTTAGTGAGAGAAGGTTTCACAACGGTTAAGATATATCCAAAAGTATGTGGTTTCATTCGTAAGTATTGAAAAAATTTATCTTCGTTCCTTTTTAAAATGTGAAACAGGTGGTGGTATTCACCATACACCTTACAACCTTTATTTATTTCATGTGTTTGAATCTCACAAAAATTTCCTAGCAGAAGATCTAACTTTACAATGGCATTGTTCATTAGAAGAGAAAAGTTTTTTAAATTTACTTTATCCATAATTCAATGTAATTCCTGACGTGTATACTGATTGACGTAAGATTTCCCCGTCTTGGCCTTGCCCTGGTTTCACGCGTAGGGACACCAAAAACGCTATAACAAAGGGTAGCTTACACCGACACACCGTATGCGATTCACTCGCACTTGTTGACAAACAATTTGCCGGCGGATTCGGGCGGCGAAAGTATCAAAACAAACTTCACATGAGACAGAGATACCTCTATAGCTAATAAAGCCATTGCTCATGAGAAAAGAAAGCTTCTATAGATACGGCTTACAACAACGTGACACAGCCGGCCGTGGCTAGATGTCGCATGTTGCTTACAGATGCATCTGGCTGCGTCTAGCAACGTCAGCAATGTCTCCGTTGCTCCACTGTGAACGAGCCCTAACCTAGACTGTAATGGTCTAGATATGGGCATCTCCTCTATTATGGTATCAATCTGTATCAATTGGAGACCGATCATCAATGATGTAGCTGCATCGGCGGCCTCTGATGGTGCGTAGTATATGGCCTCGTAGCTTGTGTATAAAGTAACAGAGGGCTGCTCTTGTAAGGCTTAAAATGTGCCGTATCGTTTTAGTAACTATTTTAGTTCTAGTTTGTATATAGGGCCCTTTATCACAAGGTATAGGTAACGTCCACTGGCGATGGTGTCTATTATCTTGGCCATTTTATGTAACCTGTAAGCGTAAGTATGATGGGTATTATGATGATGATTAATTGATACATGTAAACTTATGAGTACTATTGTAGTGTATTTCGTGCTGTTAATACTTTAAATAATCCGTAGATTAAACGTGAAATTTAAATATGAAAATAAGATCATGTTTATGAAACGGTTAAATGATGCTCAGGAAAAACATGGATGGATACAATCGATATTTATTATGCTATGTCAAAATTTTCGCGGAATTACAATATAACGAAATAAGTAATATTAATNAAGACGAGGTAGCAGGAAGCATCGAGACCTTTGGAAAAGATGTTTTTGAAGGCAGAGGTGTCAAAGCGTTGAAGAGAGCTAATCAAGCACGAGAGAGGTTGAAGAAAGAGAAGAGTGAAGAAGAGCTACCACACTACTAGTACACAGTGAATGAGCTACTCACTGACGGTACTTATAAATGTTATCAAAGGGTGCAAAAAAAAACAATTATGTGATGTTTGGATCTACCAATAAAGTTTGAATACGTGATGGTAATAATTAAGTAAATATAAAATCGCTCATTGGTTTTATAAAGCTTACAATTAAAATCTCAGAACTGAGCGATGTATTTTCTTAACGTAGGATGTAGCTAGTTAAATGATAGGATTCAATAGTTGAATTCATTTTCTGCTGCTGTTGATTTTTTCTCGTAAATCGATGATTTTGGCAAAGGTTGGTTTTGTTTTTAAAGTCTGTATGCATCGTTGTCTTCTGCATGTAATAATTCATTAATGATTCATTTATTCAAGTTGTTGTTGACATAAAAAGTGAGCCAGTTTCTTGTTCATTTTGTGTTTTGCACTCCTTTGAATTGGTTCGGCGTATCTCGGGCGATACTTGGGTTCATCGTTCTGCACCGATAGAATAGCGCTATTAGGATCCATGTATTTTACATATGCTTAGTATAATCTTTCTATTCTAAAACGATATTTTGGGGTACGAAATTAAGAGAAATAGTTAAAGAAATTTCTCTCCTTTTTTGTTCCGTCTATATCCCACGGTATAAGACACATAAGTGTTTTTGGATCAATGTTCGGTATATCATTGTCGCTTTTTGGTGATGTTGGTAAAGAAATCTTTTCTGCTTGACAAATAGTAATTTTCATCTTGCAAGAAGAAAATGTCTGAACTTTTTCTCCTTTTTTTAGTATTTTATTAGGTATTTTTATTAAATGAATCCCCATTGTAAATGGCAGTTACAGTTCGATGTGTATAACTATGTAAATCCGGAAGTATGTGCATTTCGCTGATGTTTCCTTTATTTTCTAATTGTTCAATAACTTCATGTAAAGAATAGTCCATGGTGACTTTAGTCTTTATTGTTATATTATAGTGGGGGCTCATCGTAAAGTCTGGAAGAAAGATAGTATCAAATTACTATAAAATTATGTGTCTAATTCCAACTTTTGAGATGTATGGCGTGGGAGTATCAAACTCCGTCTCTTTATTATAGGTCTAGTTTTAGATGATTTAGGTATTTTTTGTTTCTCTTCAACTTTGGCATTAAATTCAGTTAGTTCATGTTCTTTTGGTTCTTGTTTAATAGTTTCTCGGGGTTCTGTGATCAGTAGATTAATTGCGCGTTTCATAAATTTTTTCAAGATACTACGTTTCATAGTCTTCTTGAAACAGCTTCTTACTTTGATAATGAGTATTACTATTATAATTGTAATAACCATAGCTTCAATGACATTAATTATTAAAATAAAAAGAGTAGTTTGTTTTTCCTTCAACTTTCGGGTTCACATTTTCTCCATTTGATTTATTATATTTTGTATATTAAATTCTTTAGCTGTCCAAGCTTGTTCATTAGAGTTTTATTCTCGAATCGGTTTTATAGCATGATGGAAGTCATCAGTGTCTTTTAAGAGTTCATGTAGTACAATTAAGTTTAAGTTTCCTTCTACTTGATAGATATACTGTATCTGAGTAATTGTCTTATGTTCATTGATTAAGGTCAATTCATGAATTTTTCCCGTTCATCCATCATTCATTCGTAAAAGACCTATACTTTTTACTATTTTTTGTTGATCCATTTTATTGGGACAGATAATGTTTAATTGTTCTTCACAAGGTGTCAAGAATAACCATAAGTTATCAGCTGGTAAGGAAATCCATTGACTCTTTGTTTTTGATGTACATATACTTTAGCAGTATTTAAATAGTTCTATTCCAGGTCGTCATAGCATAATAATTTCACATTCGTTTAAAGAATAGGGATCTTTTAACGGTTCCATAACAGAGCATACATAACCATATACTGTTTTATCACGCGGGTTAAACGTAACTTCCATTAAAGATTCTTTATCGGTGTTAAAAATTCTAGATTTTCTGCTAGGTTCTTTACACCCTGGGATACAGTTCTTAATATATTTAGAGAAAATAGCTTTGGATGTGCTTGACCTTTTTGTAAATTATGCAAGATGCCAATTAGATATTCATGTGAAGGAATAATATAATCTCAGGTAGCCTCAGTTCCTTTGAGGTGAGTTAATAAATATATCAAATATCTGTCGAGAGCAAAATCTTATCCTAAAGTCAACATATCAGTAACTTAATTGAGAATATTCTCATGGCATTTCATAGTCTTATACAGTTTTTCAAATGCAGCTGCAAAAATATGGATGTTTTGTTCATACAATTTAATATGTCCCTTATAATCGGTATGCAAATTGTTGATTTTAGTGTTTATAAAATTGATACCGTCCTTTGTGACTAAACCAGAGAGTCCTTGAGCAATGCTTCCAATAATTCCAAAAGGTGTCAGTCTTTTTCTTCGTATGCTAAGGTATGGAATAATGTTATCTCTCGCATAGGTTCCCACAGTATTTTTTTTGTTAAATAGTGTTGCTTTGACATTTTTTATTTGAATTATCTTTAAATTTAAGAGGACCATTTCCATGTAGTTAGTACAATTAGGATAAGCAAATTGTACAATGCAATATCGAAAGGTTTCATTTAATTCTTGAGTAGGTCTGTGTTCTGATATGAATTGATTAATATCCACCCATATCACTATCTTTCAATCAGCTTTTTTTATTTTTGTAATACCGATTCGTTCATACTATATTACAAGGCTCGTTTCAAGTAGTTCTATGCTATAGTTGCCATGATTAGTATAGTTTTAATTTGTGCAGCCTTCAAGCACTATTGGCATTAAGATGGCCAATATAATCCGCATCGTTGTTTTTTTTTTTTTTTTTTTTTTTTTTTCTTTTTTGTTTCTTTTTTGTTTTTTTATGGAAGACATGTAGAACATAATTCTTACAAGGATACTATTATCGGGGGACTACTTTTTATTTATCTGTGGGTTTTCGTATGATTTCACCATCGTTTTTTATAAGTAACACATTATTTCCCTGTAAAACTGTTTTTATTTCTAGGTGTTCATTATAATAGCGATTAGATGAATGAGAACGTACTTCTTTCTTTACCCAAACTTAATATTCTGGTTTAACATTAGGTGACTACAATTTTTATAGTATCCTGTTTTTGTTTGCATTTTCATTTTTATTTGGTGATGTGCTGATGCAATTTGCATTTCTTGAAGTAGCTTAATAAGATCTTGTAAATATAATGAATAGATTCATAACCTTTTATTTTTAGGTATCTTCAAGGGCAACCTTGCTATTCTTCCGAATACCAGTTCATAGGGCGTCAAATTTGTTGCTGCATGTACTTTCGTGTTGTACGTGAAAGCTGCAAATTTGGCCAAATTGTTTCAGTCATCATAAGTTTCATAGTAAGTTATTATAAAGTCAGCTAAGGCAGCATAAATATTAGCTCTAGTGATCCGTTTGTTTGAGGATAATATGCTTATGTAGTTAGATAATTGGTTATTAGGGTTCTCATGAGTTGTTTCAATAAATTAGACATAGATGTAGCATGTCTGTCTGATACAATTGCTCTAGGTGCACTGTAAACTAATATTACATTTTGTACGAGTGCATTGGCAAGCGTGTTTAATCTTAGATCTGATACAGGGACAGATACGATGTACTTAGTCAAATTACATTAGATGGTTTACAAATGG